CTGAAAATACCGTAAATTGAAAATGCATTTAATATGAATACTGAACATACTGAACATTGGTTCTTTCACCTCCTCCTCCTGCTCCTCCTCCTCCACCTTCCTCCTACTTCGTTCTACTTTTTTTTGTTTTTTGGTTTTTGAGACAGGGTCTCACTATGTAGTTGAGACTGACCTGGAGCTCACTATGTACCCCAGGCTGGTCTCAAACTCACAGCGATCCTCCTGCCTCAGCATCCCGAGTGCTGGGATTACAGGCGGTATGCACCACCACGCCCGGCCTCTCCTTCTACTTTTTGAGACTGGATCTCACTGTGTAGCCCAGGCTGGTTTTAAACTCACAGGTATCCTCCTGCCTCCATCTCCCAAGGGCTGGGATCAGAGATGTCAGCCACCACACCTGGATCCAATTAGAGTCTTTTTTGTGGGGGTTGTTTGTTTGTTTCTTGAGACAGGGTCTCACTATGTAGTTGAGACTGACCTGGAACTCACTATGTAACTCAGGCTGGTCTCGAACTCACAGCGATCCTCCTGCCTCAGCCTCAGGATTGCTGGGATTAGAAGCTTGCACCACCACACCCGGCCTAACACTTTTTTTTTTTAATACAAGGAGGAAAAGCCCAGGAGAAATAAAGGTAGCCTTATACAACTTTGCTTATCCATACTTCCTATGATGTTAAAAATGCTGGATCAGTGCTAGAGCACTCGCCTAACATGAAAGGCTTTGGGTTTCATCCGCAGAACCACATAGTATTTCCAGGTAGTTATTTAATTAATTGATATGGGGTTGCTCATACTTGACTTTTGGAAATGCCCCTCCCCTCAAGGTAGGGTCTCGCTATGTGGCTCAGGCTACCATTAAACTCACCATGTAGCCCAGACAGGACTGGAACTCACAGAGATGCTCCTGCCTCAGTCTCCAGAGTGCTGGGATTATCAGCATGAACCACTGTGCCTGGCAACTCCTGAAAATTTGATCTTCATCTCTGAAAGACCATTTAAAAATATATACAGCAGGCTGGGGATTTAGCTCAGTGGCACTGTGTCTGTCTCACAAGTGCAAGATCCTGAATTCGATTCCCAGTTACCCCCCGTTAACTTTTTTCTTTTCTTTCTCTCTCTTTTTATTTTTATTTATTTATTTTTTTAATTTTTGAGACAGGGTCTCACTATGTAGTTGAGACTGACTTGGAACTCACTATGTAACCCAGGCTGGTCTCCAACTCACCGTGATCCTCCTGCCTCAGCCTCCCGAGTGCTGTGATTACAGGCGTGTGCCACCATGCCTGGCTCTATCTTTTTTTTAAACTCAGAGCTTCATGGGTGCTAAGCGCATTGTGTGCCACTGAGCTAAAAACTCAACATTTGTCTTTTTACTTTTAAAATCTAAAATATGAGCTAGGTATGGTGGCACACACCTGTAATCCCTGCACTCAGGAGGCTGAGTCAGGAAGATCACCCCAAGTTCAAGGCCAGCCTGGGCTACATAGTGAGACCCTGTGTCAAAATCAATGAGCCTATGGGATATGCAAATATTGCTCTTTAATATAAAATGTTGATGTCCCAGGATTATTACAATACAAAAATAATTAAAAGCTGAGCTGGGGATTTCGTTCAGTGGTTCTGCCACCTGCCTTGAAAGCGCAAGGTCCAGAGTTCAATCCCCTGTACCAAAACCAAACAGAACAAAAATATAATTAAAAGCCAATTTCTTTGGGTAATCCCTTGAACTAGGCGCTCTAAACTGCGAGTCACTGTCACCGCTCTTGCCTTTATTAGCTTGATCAGCGCGCAACCGCAGGTAAGAGGAGGTTGATATTTGTTGTTTCCTAACAGTATTTCAGGGATCTAACAAAGCTATGAATTAAGTGCTTTGTGAGCCATAGGACATTAAATATTTTTACATCAGATCTAAGAGAGAATGGCCATTTTCTCCAGATGCCTTTGCTTGTCTAAGTGTGGATTTAACTTGCAGGAAGTAGGGTGGGCGGTTGTCTGAGAGATAACAACACAAGAAATTAATCAACAGTTACGGCCACTCCACACTGGAGACACGGGAGCCTCGGCCAATTCGTCATACAAAGAAAGTGGGAACCGGAGCCCACCGGGGGAAACATCTCAGGTGCTCTTTATTAAGAGTGGAACTTTGAAATCCATCCGTTGAAGATGAACGACTCTTCTCCCAGTTAAGCTGGTGTCATCTCTAACTTTCCTTGAGTAGGAAATACTCTTCCACTTCCAACTAGGTTATTCACGGTCCAGTTTGTCCTGAGACTCCTCTAATAGGCTTTGTGGAGCTAAGTTTTATAATAGGGATTTAAGGCCCTCCCGCCTCGTCCCCGGCCGGCCCGCTCCCTCCAGA